CTTAGGGGGCCTAGAATTCAATTAATGTAGTAAGTCAATCTGCGTAATAGATTACAAAATGACTGGGCTTCAATTTACATTTGTGTTTTTCTTCAATGTTAAAATTTCCTCCTGATTGATGGATTCTCGATATGGTGAGGGTGTAGTAGTATACAGTCAACTACTCCTGTAAAAACTGAATTATAAACTAAAATGCAGAAATTCAAATCAGGCCCTAAGACCATAAACTGAGAACAGTCTTAAGTCGAAAAGTTCTGTAAATTATAATAAGTTTTGAAATCATTTTGAAAAATAGAACAGAAATTTCAACATGCATTTCTACTGTAATATTTTACACTTATTTTTAAACATATTCATTGAATAAAGATCGAAATATTAAGAAATCTAAATTTTCGGCTTAAGTCTATTTTCAGTTTATGTTCCTTGGGCCTGGTGTTTTTAAACTTATGGTTCTCTGATCTGAATTTACCAAATTACCAAATTAATCATTAAAAATATCCCTGTACGTTCACTTATAGCCTAAAGAAAAGGGGGAAATAATTTATAACAACCACTTATAAATACTATTGAAATGTAAGGAGAAAAAATATATTTAGAAAACTAGAACAAAACTGCAATTAGTGGTAAACAACTTGGATTTAAAATTGTAAAGTTCTTAAACATTAAACCATTCTCTCACGAACTCACGAAGAGGTGATTAAAACACTTGATGTGATAAAAAGAGGACAAACTGCCTCTAGTATGTAATTGTCACTATATGTTTAATTAAGCCATTCCTGAGTAAAAAGTGATGAATAATATAACGACATAATAAACGATATATTAAATGATTTGTGAATATTGTAGACTCTATAATATCTTTCTTAAGAATGTATGCATCTTAATTTCATACTGAACGAAGCAAATAGCACTTAGCAAAAATACGACAAGTTTTAAAATGAAGTTCCCCATTTCATTTTGTCATAACCATTGTAAGTAGATTTCATTTTGTCATATACATTATAGTTAAATTTCACTTTGTCATGTACATTGTAATTAGATTTAGTTGTGATGAATCAGTCTGTTTCCTTGAATTTTCTAAACTTATTCATTCTTTATCATTAAAACACCAGAATACGTATTAATTAAGAAAAATGTTTTATACTTGTTCAGCGTTTAGTCTAAAGACGGCGTATAAACAACTCTAAATAGGTAAGAGACAAACAAAGTGTCAAAATTTGTTTTCAAATGCGGAAGTAAAATGACGTTGAAATTTAAAAATAAAGTCCACAGACAGTAGATATAATCTGTATATACATTTTCTACAATCTAAGTTCCAGCTTTTGGCCCTTGATTTTACAGCACGATTTACTGAAAGGATATTTACTCTAAGTTGTACTTTAGCTGCATTTACAACACTTCGATCATGTTTAGGAGAATCTGATGGTTATATCTATGTGTATATATATATATATATATATATATATATATATATATATATATATATATATATATATATATATATATATATATATATATATATAGCATAACTGAATGAAGAGCCAATATGGCTGAAAGCATTTTGAACGCAGCATTCTAGTAAACATTTATTTAAGTACCTAGAATTTAATATCCTTTCAGAAAATCAAATTCAAGCTCAAATTCCATTAAAACAATACAAATCGGGAGCAGAGCAAACATCTAAAATAAAAACCTACAGACAAGACAAATTTGTAAATAAGGCATAAATCACCAACCACTGGAAATTCCAGAGTTTGGATCAGGTGCTTAGGAGGAGTACGCATCCCCTGAAGACCTGTCTCACCAGCCGTGAGCACAATGTATTGATCAGGTAGATGGAATAGAATCAAATTTATTACAAAAAAAATGGCCTAACAATGAGAGTGAACTATTTCAACGAAATACGACCCAGTGATAGATTATATTTGCAAACAATAAACATTATAATGACCATAGAATTTTCCAAATGCTGGCTTTAGAGGAGGTTGTTGAAATCCCTGTAACATCAATTTGTCAGCAGCCTGCCCTGGTTAAAAAGTGATCGTGCTCAGAGAATGCTCCTGTATGGAATAATTTTGGAGACACACACACCATATGTAGATAGGAGTGGAATATTACTACATAAATCTATACTTATAAATTAATAAATTTTGCAAATAAACTCCGAAACGGGTGAACCAGAGTTCTTACTTACTCCTCTAAGAATACACACGATACAAGATGATGTCCGTAAACTATATTTAGATTTCACTTGCATTGTAAGTATCGTACATTAAATTAAAAGTCTATTTTTATTTTCTATAAACAGCCATGAAATAGCAAAAACGTGAGTACGGTGGCGTTTCCGGTTGGCGGATCTAAAAAAGATGTTAAAAAGAAAAACGAGGCGATTATAGCTGCTTTAACATAAAAAAAGCTTTTGTGTGAATGGTCATTGAAATAGTGGTAAATCATTGATAACACTGTAAGTTGTGAGTATATTTATATATCGAAAGACTATTTCATATATATAGTCGGTTTTCCTAATACATTTATCCTTAAAATTTGTATATATTCCTCACTGAGAGCATCGTGGCAACGAACCCGAAGTACAATTTGTACTTTGTTATAAACTTGCTTACATGAAAAGAGAATATTAACGAATAAGGCATTATTCAAATACAATAATGCTGTAAAATTTTGTGCTTTAATAATCAATACATTTCGGTTTTTTTTAATACAGTCTTTTGTATCAAATATTCGGCCTATTCCAGTGGCGGATCCAGAAATCTTGAAAGGGGGGGGACCAGTTTGGGGTTGGGATAGGGGCCCACGGACACACCAAAAAAATTGATTTATTAAATTTTATGTATTTTTTGGACAGAAAACGGGAGGGGGGCTGCGCCCCCCTCTAAATCCGCCAGTGTATTCATAGGGCGTTATATAACAGCTAATTTTCACACAGGTTCTTGGGTCTTGGATTATAAATATGTATGTACCTTACTGATGTGTAAAAAAAGAGGTAAGATACAGTTTTTACATATCAATAAGGTACATACATATTTATAAACCAAGACCCAAGTACCTGTGAATTTTTACCAAAAAAAAAAATCTATTTATCAGTAAATTGTGCATATTCACTGCTTTTATTCTTGACGGAAATGAAATAAGACCATCTGAAGTACAATATTCATAACATAGTATATACAATATCCATAACATAGTATAAAACAGGTTTCACAATAAACGTCAATTAATGATATAAGTTTTACAAGGGGTGGGGGGGATTGGAGACGTACTTCTACTTCATGCGGGATTTTGAACAAAGTATTTCTTCCTGCTATTAGCCTGTAGGCTGTCAGTGGAAACTACAATATATATATATTATTAGATTTTTTCTGTCGGTAGTGGTATAAATTCAATTCCCCGCGCTTACGCGGGATTTCATCTAGTAATTAATAAACATGTTACAGGCGATTGAAAATTTGACTTAAGCCTAAGACTGTTTCATGATCCTGGGGTCTGGTCTCCAAAAACTTCATAGATGATGTCAATGTGAAACTCAAACATCTTTTTAATAACACATCAGAAACTTATGCGTGAAATCAGAATAAGATTCAGCAAAGTAATTTTGTAGATGACCAATCACAAAATATGAAAATTTTCAAGTTCCACTTTTATTGAAGAAGCAAGTGTCTATGGTATCAGAAAGCCTAGTCTTTAATTTATTGGGAGGAATGGTTGTATAAAAAGTAGTAAAATTGTACGTTTTGATTTTACTGAATTTTGAAAAATTTTGTGATATTGAATTTTTCATAAAGTCTTTTGGAGTTTTGAAAATCCACATTTGATTTATACCACTTTTTGAATATGCTGAAGTACAGTGCGGCTGACGTTTCGTCTTTACAGCAGTTAAAATGTTTTTGAGTAGTAAAGATAAGGACTTGGTAGGGCATTTGCTGGACCTTGCAATGTACATTTAATCATTGTTTGTAAGAATTTTCATGAAGTTTAGGAATCCAGAATATGTAGGGTAGATCGCCTTGCCTCCTGTAACTATATCATATTATTCACGAAGCCTGAATTAATTCGTTCATCACCTCCGATTTAGTGAAAATGGAAGGGTATATGGTTCGCATATTGCTTCCTAGGTTTCAAAAACGAGTTTAAAACACGTATTCCATTATGACAAAGTACCAAGGTCATAAATTCGCCCATCGCTTGATATAATCCTCGACAGAATTCATGATAGAAATGAAGTTCTGACGCCATCTGTAGATATTATTCCTATATAGGCACTGATTCCACCTCTGGAATTTTCAGGGGTCCATGTTCTATGCCCTGTTCACAAGTTTGTATTATTTAAATTTCATTTAAATCAATCACTGTTTGGTATCTTCACCTTTTTCATGTTAATATCAAAATCAAATGCATGTACTGTATTAAATATATGTTAAAGATAGAACTCTTGAAAGGTCGATGTAGGTACGTCACTAATCCTAAGGAGGAACACTCCAATATTAAGTGACAATTACAAACCAGATCCACTTATTAATTCATCAAATCAAGTATCCGTAATCTTAATGTTACCAAACCCCACAATAAAATACAAGAAAGTTCATCAATTGCAGTTTTGTTCCAGTCTTTTGATGATTTTGTTTTTTATCATTCCGGAGATTACGTATAGTACTGTACTATAACATATGTATGCAAATTGCGTGTTTTAAATCATTTTTTTCTTCTTTTTTGCAATTCGTAGGCTGTAGGTTAATGTTCAGATCATGCTTGATAACATAATAGGAATCAGGTACTCCCCCTCCCCCCAAATAACCACCGAAATCTAGGATATCCCACAATCTCTATTGAATTAGTAAAACCTTGTTTTTAAAAAGTGTTCAACCATTATCATTACATCACTGACAACAGGCCGGGAATGTATCATTCGATAGGAAATTTTAACTTTGTAGAAAATTCACAACTTCCCCCTTTCGTTATTCAAACATTAGCTGATTTATGAGGAGATGGAGGGGTTCAAGCTCGAAGCTGTCTCGGCGTTTTTCGTGGCATGTATCCTTGGGATATCTGCACAAATTGGCGCAAAGTAAGATTTTTCTTCAACAACAACTCAAAATCTTTTTGATATCATTGAAACGTTGAACACTAGGGTATTAACAGATTCATTTTTAAGCAAAGGGGATGGAATGAAGTAAACTTTGAAACTATGATTTGTTTTTACCTGTAATGTGATGTTAGAAAACGACTATGGAACATGCAGTAAAACAGTACTTGTATATGTCCGTACAAGATATAAGAATTCGTGTAAGCATCGAAAGTAAGATGAGATAGCAAATGGAGATTTTTTTTCTCTCAATTTTCCTATGCAAGCTCTTGCAAGAAACCCTCACAAATGATTGTTAAAACAATTGTTCATTTTGGGAAAATTGATTGTATTTATTTTTTTTTTTTTGCCTAGGAATTTACTCTACCATTAATTTCCTTTTAGGAAAATTTACAAGGAAAACAATTACATGTATATATCAGAATATGTCATTCAATGCATACAGAAGAGAATTAACGTGTAACTTATATCATATTATTATAATAAATTCTAAAGTCACGTCAACGGTCAACCTTAAAACGCCGATTATCATGCAAATAGCAATATTGAAGGTAATGATATGAAATGATAGGAAATGAGAGAAGAATAATTTTCACAAAATGGTAAAATTGTAATTTTTATTACCCGATTAACACTCTTTTATCATTATGATTATCATGGGTAGAGGGGAAAACTAAAATGCTGGAATCTGGAAACATGTTAATTATTGAAAAGGTTTTACATCTCTGCAAAAAACAATTTCAGTACGGGGGGGGGGGGGGGCTCAACGTTAAAGAAATTCTTGACAAGTCAAAAAAAAAGGTCATCATACCTATTAAAGAGAGGAAAAAGCTGCAAATTATTATTTTTTTTATCGTAATGTAAAGTCATACTCAGTCTGGCAAAATAATAAAATGATATTGTGGGGCACAGATGGGAATTAGCTTTCTATAGCAAAGTATATACTGGGAAGTGTCATGGGGGCATGGCCTACCCCCTCCCGCTTCCTACGGGACTGTTATTACTTATATGGAGATTGTGAAAATATTTCTAAAATACAATATATACAGAAAATGCACGCGTATGAAACAGAATATCTGACATTGCAAGTGTAGAGACAACTATCCAGCTATTATCACTCTCTCTGAACACGTGTATTATCTTCACAGCTTTACTCAGAGCTGTAACACTTGAGCGTGGAATTGTAACAATATTAATAGTGCAGACTCTGTATTATCTCTGTAGTTTTAATGACGGTGTCATCTAAATCGTTCTAAGGTTGCGTGATTTAATACTTAACTCTTTAAAGCAATACTGGTGAGAAAGGGTTATTTATTTCCTGTTCAGATAAGGAAGTTTAGACGACAAAGAGGAAAAGGAACGCTAAGTGTATCGCCGCATGGCATTCATTAATGAGTTTCGTGTTAAGTACCATCCACTCATGAATTAATAACTATGGTGTTCAGTATCTTTACTTTCGAGGCTAAAGAGAAATGACCCTCGGTCTGAGAATTGGGTCTAAAATTGATGAATCACCCTGTTTTCTTACACTTTTCTCATCAAGGACGTTTCTCTAATTTTGCCCAGTACAGGAGACTGTTAGATTTCCTAATTTTTTCTTGGCAGAAACAAAATCACTTCGTTTTAATAATGGATCGGAATAGAAAATGTATACTTAGTATAGATATACGAAAGAATTCTGTATTCGGTAACTATTTGCTATTGTTTATTGGAAGTAATCAAACAGTCTGTTTTCATACATTTTTACGTTTTAATTCCGTCGGATGGGATGTTAAATGGTGCCCCATGTCAAGGATTACAATCCCCTTGGCACGCAAAAGATCGTTTTCCTGGTTCTCGAAAAAGAGTAGACTGATAGGGGGCCGCCAGAGAAACCAAAACTGGCCACGGAACGTTAATCTTTACAGCCGAAATATTGCTGAAATATTGCAGACTCGCCGTCAAACAATAACAACCAATCAAACCGTTTGTTCTTCCTTTATCATGGCCGTAGGAACCGGGGGGCAGGGGGGGGGAGGACCTTGCCCCCCAATAATTTTGCCGATATATAGATTACTGTAGAAAACATTTCTATTATATGCTTGTGCCCCCTCAATAAAAAGGTCTGATGACCTTTTTTTTTTTTTTTTTTTTTTTTTTTTTTTTTTGCTTGTCAAGGAATTTTTGGTTGATAGTGCCCCCTCAACTGAAAATATATGGCTGTGCCCCCCCCCCCCTCTCCAAATTGAAATTGCTTCCTACGGGCCTGTCTATTAAACTAATTATTGTCTTTTAGTTATAAAACTTATTTATAATAAGTTACTTTTTTATTTTTTAATTAAAAAAAAGAAAACAAACGTATCTTCATTCACCGCATGTACTTATTTTTCTTGGTGCATTCCTTTGAGCTTGTGTTTCTTGTTTTCTACAGTGTATGCTCCCGGACACAAACTGTTTACCAGAGACAAAGAGTGTGTGCCTACAGAACATGGCTGAGGTGAGTTTTTTTTCTTTTCTTTTCTTTAAGAAGAGTTACTTTTGTGTAAAATGAGTTGAATAAAACATACATATCGGTAAAAAGAAGAATTTTCGTTGCATCGTTCTTGTAACTGCGTTATTGAAGAAAATGTATATAGGAAAATTGTTTCCGAATGATTTGTACAGCATAATTATCTTCACATACAAGAGTTGTCCAGAAGAAAGTTCGTGGACATATACTCCTGACTGTTCAAAATAAGAGAAACAAATGAAACAGTTTTAAATTGTTAAAGGTCAATATTTGATTTATATACATGTATATATATAAAAAGAACACTTTAAATACGCCTTTTAGAGCAGTCCGCCTTTGTATTGTACTCGATCCTAGTCTGTCTGTATAACAACAATATACGTGATGTCGAAAGGATTTCCCTATTTGAGAGGGTTCGTATCAGAAGTTTCATCTTGTAATAGTAGAGGGACCTGATTCGCTCAAATCCGTTATGGAAAACTTCTGGATAACAATAGTAAAATTAAAGGAGATTCCTAAAACCAATTTAATTTAATTTAACCTTAAGGCTTCATTCAATTTATCAGCGTCTCTTGGACTATTGCATCTTTCAGTGAAGGAACCTACATGTACGCTCTTTAAACAATTTTTGGAACAAATCCCGATTTTTCATATATATTTTGTTTTTAAGGGCGTTTTTCTAAAATCACTCACAATAGCCTCTGATCCTTGACCGCACGCTCTTCTATATGAACATCCCACCTCAGGCTTTTACGTAAGATATGACACGTAAAACAATCATCCGTCGTTTTCCTGTTTTAATGAGAAAAGGAAATGACAACCACATAGGAAAAAGTGACACAATCTGCCTAAAGTATTACACGACTTTTAAAAGTCTTCACGCCTTCAATAAACGAAACAAAATCTTCCTTTGATTTGATTCAGGCATTTCATGAAAATTTAAGTTGTTTCCAGTTCCCGAGTCCAGACTCACCAAACAGAGACAAGTATCTCCTACTCCCCAGTCCACACACATCATACAGAGACCAGTATCTCCTACTCCCCAGTCCACACTCATCATACAGAGACCAGTATCTACTACTCCCCAGTCCACACTCATCATACAGAGACCAGTATCTACTACTCCCCAGTCTACACTCATCATACAGAGACCAGTATCACCTACTCCCCAGTCTACACTCATCATACAGAGACCAGTATCTCCTACTCCCCAGTCCAGACCCATCATACAGAGACCAGTATCTCCTACTCCCCAGTCCACACTCATCATACAGAGACCAGTATCTACTACTCCCCAGTCCAGACTCATCATACAGAGACCAGTATCTCCAACTTCCCAGTCCACACTCATCATACAGAGACCAGTATCTCCTACTCCCCAGTCCACACTCATCATACAGAGACCAGTATCTACTACTCCCCAGTCTACACTCATCATACAGAGACCAGTATCTCCTACTCCCCAGTCCAGACTCATCATACAGAGACCAGTATCTACTACTCCCCAGTCTACACTCATCATACAGAGACCAGTATCTACTACTCCCCAGTCTACACTCATCATACAGAGACCAGTATCTACTACTCCCCAGTCCACACTCATCATACAGAGACCAGTATCTCCTACTCCCCAGTCTACACTCATCATACAGAGACCAGTATCTCCTACTCCCCAGTCTACACTCATCATACAGAGACCAGTATCTCCTACTCCCCAGTCCAGACACATCATACAGAGACCAGTATCTCCTACTCCCCAGTTCACACTCATCATACAGAGACCAGTATCTCCTACTCCCCAGTCCACACTCATCATACAGAGACCAGTATCACCTACTCCCCAGTCTACACTCATCATACAGAGACCAGTATCTCCTACTCCCCAGTCCACACTCATACAGAGACCAGTATATCCTGCTCCCCAGTCCACACTCATCATACAGAGACCAGTATCTCCAACTTCCCAGTCCACACTCATCATACAGAGACCAGTATCTCCTACTCCCCAGTCCACACTCATTATACAGAGACCAGTATCTCCTACTCCCCAGTCCACACTCATCATACAGAGACCAGTATCTCCAACTTCCCAGTCTACACTCATCACACAGAGACCAGTATCATTCTCCTACTCCCCAGTCCTGACTCATACAGAGACAAGTATTTTCTACTCCCCAGTCCAGACTCATACAGAGATCAGTATCTCCTACTCCCCAGTTTACACTCATCATACAGAGACCAGTATCTCCTGTTCCCCAGTCCCGACTCATATAGAGACCCGTATCTACTACTCGCCAGTTTACACTCATCACATTGCATACAGAGACTAGTATCTCCTACCCCCAGTCTACACTCATCATACAGAGACCAGTATCTCCTGCTCCCCAGTCCACACTCATCATACAGAGACCAGTATCTCCTACTCCCCAGTCCACACTCATCATACAGAGACCCGTATCTCCTACCCCCCAGTCCAGACACATCATACAGAGACCAGTATCTCCAACTCCCTAGTCTACACTCATCATTCAGAGACCAGTATCTCCTGCTCCCCCGTCCACACTCATCATACAGAGACCAGTATCTCCTACTCCCCAGTCCACACTCATCATACAGAGATCAGTATCTCCTACTCCCCAGTCCACACTCATCATACAGAGACCAGTATCTCCTACCCCCCAGTCTACACTCATCATACAGAGACCAGTATCTCCTACTCCCCAGTCCAGACCCATCATACAGAGACCAGTATCTCCTGCTCCCCAGTCATGACTCATCATACAGAGACCAGTATCTCCTGTTCCCCAGTCCAGACTCATACAGAGACCAGTATCTCCTACTCCCCAGTCCTGACTCATTCAGAGACCAGTATTTCTTTCTTATTTTCTTAAAGAAATCTATCTTACATACCATGCTGATAAGCATGTTAACAAACAAATGCATTTGTCAACAAATAAAAATATTTGTTCGAATTTCAATTATTTTTTTTAGGTATGAATTTCTTTTTTAACATTACAGTCCCAAATTTGTTTGGGCAATCTTTGCCTCATTGTTACACATATTTTCGACTCTAGGCTAATACTTGTTGATGGCTTGTCATATGATTAAATTAAGACTTAATTTTGTGATACTTGAGTGTTACTTTCAAGCAAAATATGTTCAGTTCTATTAGGATCTAATTGATTTTTCAGTTGTTGTTATTACCGGTACGTTCTGAAGTGTTCCTATAAAAGAGTGAGTTACTGCTGCTCTGGATATAGAAATGTCAACAACAGATGCATCCGTAAGTTAATTAGCAGAGATTCAACAACCGTGAGTTAGTAAGTTAAGAAGTTCATAATCAACAACCTTACGTTTATAAGCACATAATCAACATTCTTTAAGTTTATAAGTCAATATTCAACACTTGTAAGTTAATAAGTGCATATTCAACACACGTAAATAATTTTATGTAACTGTGGAATCATGATTGTTCATGGGGGACCAATGTTCGTGGATTTCGTGGGCTATACAGTTACCCACGATATTTCACCCCCTTGAACGAACTTTGTCATAGTATCGATTCATTGGATGTTTTCTAAATACGAGTTATCCACGAAAATACGTACCCATGAACCAGTAAAATTTTGGTTACCCACAGAACATTGAACCCCACGAAATAAAATGATTCCACAGTATAAGAACAGATTTCACAGTAAGATTGTAAGATTATATAAGGATATATTCAACATTCCCTATCAGTTTTTTAAAATATATTTCTTCAGTTTAACAATTTCACTCTTTCTTAGTGAGAATCTGACAATAGTTTTAGTTCAGAAATCTTTGATCTTCATTATAGTGAAAAACAGGGGACAATAGTCTTTCTTATGATAATCACTTTTGTTTTCAGCCGTGTGCTTTGGACAGACAGACAGATTGGGTTGCAACAATGTAGGGACATGTGTAGCTCCAAACACGTGTAATTGTGATAGTGGTTACTCCGGGCCACAGTGTGATAACAGTAGGATTTTGATTTTATTTATTTGCATTTTTTCTTGATTTTACAGAAGAGTGATCGCATTGTTGATACTTTATTTTAATCCTTGGATGTGTCTTAGAGAATTATATCGATGAATCTTATGGGCTGTGATTTTGCCAGAAATAACTTAGTTTTTTCATATCTTAAGCACAACGTTAACAGACTTACAATAATATATTCATAAACTTGATAGGATCAAGAAAAGGAAAACCCAATTGTCTGTATTAGCGGGAAGTTATTGAAACAAACTCAAATCTACACTTAATCGGGATTCAAACATATTTAGTCTGACTGATTGTAATCTAGCTGTTCTTGAGAAGATTCCAATATACCTCTCCCTGGATTTTTCATGCCAAATTTGTGACTACTATGATTACACACTTACAAGCCCGGGGGTAGGATTTAAATAAATTTGAATCCACACTTTATGCGGTTGCTTTCATAATAATTTGAACTGGAAAGGCAGTGTAGTTCTTGAGAAGATTCTTTTTTTCCCTATTAAACTGATATATAATGGCCCCAATGTAGGTTCCTCCAGAACAGCCGCAAGAGAGGCTGGAAAGGGGGAGGTAAAGCTAATAATGTAGCATAATTCTAGTCCTGGTCGGTAAAGCCAATAATGTAGCCTAACCCTAATCCTGGTAGGTATAGCTTATAATGTAGCCTAACCCTAATCCTGGTAGGTATAGCTTATAATGTAGCCTTACCCTAATCTTGGTAGGTATAGCTTATAATGTAGCCTAACCCTAATCTTGGTAGGTATAGCTTATAATGTAGCCTAACCCTAATCCTGGTAGGTATAGCTTATAATGTAGCCTTACCCTAATCTTGGTAGGTAAAGCTAATAATGTAGCCTAACCCTAATCCTGGTAGGTATAGCTTATAATGTAGCCTAACCCTAATCCTGGTAGGTATAGCTTATAATGTAGCCTTACCCTAATCCTGGTAGGTATAGCTTATAATGTAGCCTAACCCTAATCCTGGTAGGTATCGCTAATTGTAGACTAACCCTAACCCTGGGAGGTAGTTAATATCGTAATATAACCTTATTCCTGGGAGGTATAGGTAATAATGTAGCCTAACTTTAGTCCTGGGAGCTGGCTAAGAATGTGACCTAATCTCATTCTTGTGTGGTATAGCTAATAATGTTGCCTAACTTTAGTTCTGGTAGGTATCGCTAATAATGTAGCCTAACTGCAATTCTGAAGGTATGGCTAATAATGTAGCCTTACCATAATGCTGGTAGGTATCGCTAGCCTAACTGTAGTCCTGGTAGGTATCGCTAATAATGTAGCCTAACTGTAGTCCTGGTAGGTATCGCTAATAATGTAGCCTAACCCTGTTCTTGAACATATTCAAACATACTCACACGTAGAATTTTAACCCTCCTCTATATGGTACCACGCAAACACGGGAAAGGGGGGGGGGTGGTATCAGAAAACAGAAATATTTCTAAAAAACAATTTAGAGAAGAAAAATTCTTTTGAATGGTATTCTTTAATATTTTTCAAAACGTTTGAAAGATCAGAATTGATATATTACCTTAAAAATGTACAGTATTGGCGTTTTTTCAATAGAGGTGGCCTGTTCTACCACTAGACCCTGCTACCCTGGCGATTGCCCCAATGCAGATAGCTGCACGTGCTCAACAGGCTTTGGATCAAGAAACTGCACTACAAGTAAGCTTCAATTACATTGCTTCTATGTTGTGATAGAATTGTATGGATCAGTTTTGATTAATTTATACCTTATAGCTACTTCATTGCTTCAAAACATTTAGTTGAGCCATTTAAGCCCTAGTTTTTTCAAATAGTAAGACACATATACTACGGTCAAACACTTTATATTACTCAGTCTAATCCTTTTATATGTGGTATGTTTTCTCCATGAACTCAATGTTAACTTTATATATTTTTTATTTAAGTTACACAATCTCCTACAATAACCCTTGCTTCTGCTGTTTTGGCATATCACCATCCAACTAAACTCATGGATATCTACAACTTTACCACTGATGCAACAACGATCGGAACCGAAAATGCTTCTAGTGCATCTATTTGGGCAAACTTTAAGAGATTTAATGAAATCCGGGCGAGTTTCTCTGCAATATTTGGTCTGGATGATCAGCTCTCAGCCAGACCAAGCTACGTTTCTGAGTCCAATATAGGCGTTGCTAAAGCAACGATGGAATGGGAGCTTATAAAACTAAGAAGTAAGAAAAGTTATGTGGCAATGTTTACTCTTTTATACTGTGGATATAGCTCGATATCGTTTACCTATCCACAGCTGTACCGTCACACTGGTTTTTGTGTGAATTAGATACATGTAACTTTAAAAGTCAAACTTTTGTTGATTTACATACATGTATAAATAGTGTACAGTGTAAAAAATATGAAATATCTATGTGTAAAATATGTGATAAAAAGAATGTCCCATGGTTTGTGGTTAGATGCGATTTTTTTTATCCAACACCTTGTGTATTTTTATCTCCTGGCAAAGGCTCGGGGATAAAAACACATCTCGTTGGATAAAAGTCATATCCGACCATAAACCGTATGGGAGATCCTAGTAAATATAGAGTTTTCATAAAAACCAAGAACAATCTGATTAATCTCTTGTGGTAATCACTTTGTGACAAATGAAGCTACATGTACTAAAGTTTTTTGTGAGAAACAGATGATTCAATGTGAAGTACGACAAACGTTAATATCCGTGCACACATAATGCGACACACTTCTTTAGTAATGCAGATTTCTGGTATTTTCATATCGTAAAAAGGTTTTACTTTTGGAAAGATATTTTTTTTCAGTACACATTATCTTGTGATTGAGTGTTTAAAGGGTGTACAAACCTGGCTTCTAAATATTAATAAACTTTTCCAATACTATTGACTTCCTGCAAGAAAAAAATTCGTAATTGAATTTAAATAAAAAAACATTCATAGAATTTTCGAGATTCATGTACATATTTGTACCTCTTCCACTGAAATGATTTGACAGAACACTTGTGTACTCGGTAATGATATCTTACTGCATGAAAATCAGTATGACATTTGTTTTCTCTAGAGTCTATATCATAAATTATTTGTATTACTTAATGTTTAGACGGCATTCCACAGAGAGAGGGTGGTAATTCCAGTGCCTGTCGTGAAGTTTCCGAGACTAACCCAGATAGTACCTTACAGGAATGCCAGGTGGAGTTTTTCAACCCTCTTGCTAGCGACAGCGGTGATGTGTAAGTTAACACTTTGTTTTATGGAATGCTAGGCACATGTGCTGTTTGTTATTGCGCCAACACAGGTGTAAAATGGGTGACTTAATTGTAATCGGGCTCGTGATGCGAGTATTCTTTCACCCTCTTGGCGCCATATTGTTAGTTTGTGATTCCTAGCAGTGTAAATAAAGTTTACTAAATTTTGTAACATGTTAGTTGTGGATTGTCCCCTACCATGTACTTGACTAAATTTTCAGTGTTCCCTAGTATCAGATTAAAGGCAGAACAATATCTGCAGCTTAAAATTGCAATTTGATTTTTCTTTTAACAAAAGATAATTTTAAATCTATAAACCAAACGGGGCAAAAATTTGAAGAAAAAAAATCCATCAAAGTAAATGAATTTTTAAGAAAACACATTGTAGTAAATAGTCATAGTCATAGTTACATCTGTTAGAACACAGTGATTTCTTTTAACTATATTAATAACTTAAATCATCTGTTTTAAGAACTTTGAATGTTATAATATCAAACAAAATGACTTGCTCTGATTTCCTTAAAATTGTTAATTAATTCAAATTTAAATCAATGCCTATGTACGTATGCATTAAATGTATTCAATATACTAAACGCAAAGGACTCTATATACATCTGTATTAAGTTTTGACATTTTATATATATCAGATTGACATTGAAGTTTGAAGTTGAGAACGGGGGGTACGAGGTTCTCTCTGGCGGAGTTCGACTTCCTTTTAGACAGCATACATCCGCTACGGCATCAGTTACTTATAGAATCGACTTGGATAAACCCGTACCTACTCCTAGCACAGCATTTAGAGTGGTGGAATCTTTCACCAAAGTAAGTGAACATCCTTCAAACTACACTGTACATACGCTTTACATTTTTCTATCCCAAGGTAAGGGAACGTCCTTTTAACTACACTGTACATACGCTTTCCATTTTTCTATCCAAAGATTGCATGCAGATAAGATCTTGATATCATATTTATCTTAATTATAAAGTTAATAGTCTATTACAAGTTGCTGTCCTTAAAATAAGCTAGGGGGTTGTCTTTGTGAATGTGGCAAGTTGAACTAGGGGCGAACACGCAGGCGCATGTGCATGCTGACTTTTTCCATAGCATCCGGTTTAACCTCGCTTATATATTTTTTGCATGGTACCTCAGGGTCCACGCAGAAAAAATACTAAAATACTAAAGAATATCTTGGTTATTTATTTAACAGTAAGTTTGTAGTTCATATACCAGTATAACATGAAATATTCCGTGTGGTTAGAGCGTCTGCTCTAAAGTCGCGGAGTAAGGAACTGATCCTTACGTCGCAGGTTCGAATCCACTGCGGGAAATGGAGACCGGTCATTTGGGTGAGACTGTATAAACCGAGGTCCCGTGTCGCAATAAGTGTTGGCAGACAAAAAGATTTATCACTGCTCAATGGCCCTGAGTGCCGAGTATAGGTATAAATTTCGATAGTGACGTTAAACAACAAACAAAAAAACATGAAACATTCCAAATAAGAGCGTTCTATATCGAACGTATCTATGTCAACATAAAATGTCTGATCAACTGCAAAACGGTAAGATTTATGATGGATATTGGTAGATAGGTAAGATGAGTCGCCCATATCGATACTGTGGACTTATGAAGGCAAACTCTTTGTCAAAAAACTGAAAAAGGTAGGGTATTTAACATCAAGCACGAAAATGACATTGCCATATTGTAAGTACAATTCCGCCTCCTGCACTCACTTATACTGTAACTGAGGCTATAAGCGAGGACTTAGATACTTCATGACTTGTGACGTAAAAATATTAGAACAGCTGTTTAACAGCTGATTGCCAGCTGATAATCATGCTTAGCAAGACATTTGTCAAAGCAATACTTTATGTACCATCACACTATTTATCCTAATATATTCATATTTATTTACTCTGTATATGCTGTTAGACTATCTTTTTATCCCCTTCTTATGAGGGTGCATTTCTATTTTATTTGTATAAACGTTACTTATAGTACTTATGGTACTTCTGTTTATTTTTTGTATTTTTTTAAATCCGGAATCCGGATTTCAGTATCAATACCGTTTTGGTAGTCAATATTTTCAAGCCGGTACTACACTGTATTGTTTTTCTTCCTTTTTTTCTCCTTTTTTCTTTTCTGTAATGTTTGTTTAATTAATATTATACCTATATAGTATGTATTTACCTTGACCTTGTTGTAGGGAGGGGGCTAAAATAGGCTTTGCCTGCTGCCCAATCCCTTTCACATTTATTTGTGAATAAAATTTTGTATAAATGAAAAAAAAAATGTTACCTGTTTTTTTTTATAGATGTTTTACATGTTTCCTTTGAAGGAAACGTACATGTATTTATGATGTTATTAACATTCACAGACAGCCATCGAAACCCGTTGGTCAGGATGGAATGATATGCTTTCTGGAATGGAGAGTTACAACTGGGAAATCTTTGAACTTCAAAATCAGAGTGGAACTCTGCGATACGTAAAAAGAACTAAAGAAAATTGTATAAATCCACAGTTTGGAGATACTTGTAATGCTTTCTTAGACCCAATATCTAGTATGAAATACAACCATTCTGACGAAGAGAAAGTAATGGTGTACTCACCACGTAGAGCGGGTGTTTACGCAATGATACTAGAGGCCTCAGATAGGGCAAACAATTCTGAATATGTAGCACGCTATGTAGTGTATGATCCAAGTTCATCAAGTATAGAAATACAAACTGGGAAAAATGACATAAAAGCTCTATCAGGGTCACCAAACGCTAGCTATAAATGGCAGATTTTGTCAGCGCCATCACAAAGTAATGTTCGAGTGGAATTCTCCTGGGAGGGACATTTCATAAATCGTCTTCATCAGGAGGAAGGCTTTTTAAACATAATTGAAGATTACAAACCGCAACTGGAGGACGAAAGCGCCGCCCCTGGTGTGTTCCCAAAAACTGTTAGCTCCAAGTACAAAGAATCAGGGACAGATACACGACCACAAGAAGAAATTCCGAACAAACTGGGAATAACGAGGCAAGTCTGATATCATCTATATATTTCTATTTGAAACATAGAAGACCATCATTTGTTGATACAGTAAAACACGCTTAAAGCGAATCACCAGAGATGACTGAAAATCATTCGTATGTCCTCTTGTTATATCCATAATGTCCATATTTCATGTTGATTACTCTTGGGTGAAAAAAAATCATTATAAGCATGATTTGCAAATTCTTTGTCTGCTATAAAAGTGTTATTTTAAACCTCATTAGATTTAGCATATATCAATCTTTATATACATGTGTTTGAACTTTGATTTACATGATTATTTGACAGATTTGAAACATATTTTGATGACACTGGAGAACAAACTATTGATGTAAATTCAACACTTCACTGGAGTGACCAGAATTTAACTACTACATTTTCCAGTACCATCGGTAGAGAAATTAGGGAGGGGGATTCTGTAAAGCTGTGGGTACGAGCGGAGGATAAAATGGGGAACAGGAATCTCTCCTTTATTCAGTTGGGGTTTGATGCCACCGGTCCATTACTGTATGAGGCAATGTTTATGAAGAACATGGGATCGAAATACACATACGGCAGCAAGTAAGTGTGATTATAATATTAATGTATAAGAAATATAAGGGGTTATATATATATTAGATCACATGATTATTAGCATAAATTTCGAAATATTTTCTACTTTTTTTTCCATACGCCCCGGCCAAGTATGCATGTATATATTACTGTAGTTACCCATAAACCCCGTAATATGTAGATGCTATTTCTGTAGCTTATTTTTTAAACCATACCTTTCAATTAGAAACAATTTTTAGTGTCAATATCAACTCAAGGTAAATGCAATCCTGCTCAAGGAAGTTTATTTTGGATGTCACAATGCTTATTCACTCACAATTTTTTTATCATTTTCATGAAAATCAGTAAAGATATATTTCAATTAGTGTGGGTGAATTCGACAGTGTAACGCAGTAAATATTTACATTTTATTTTTAAAAAATGCACTATACTTAAAATAAGATATCCTTGTTATCATGCGCGGATCTAGAGGGGGTGGGGTGGGGGGTTCGAACCCCCCCACCTGGAATTTGCGTAGGTATTAAAAGTATATACTGAAGCAAATAAAAAATGACTTTGGGCCCCCCCCCCCCCCTAGAAAACATGTACCCACTATTACCACCACCAAATAGGTGTTTTTTGCTTGTCAAGAAATTTTTGGGTTGAAATTTTTTTTTGTCTGGGGTGGACCCCCCCCCCCCCCTTTGAAAAAAATTCCTGGATCCGCGCTTGGTTATGAAGTATTTATGGTTTTTATAAACATTCTTGTATATGTTCTTACGATTGCTTTGACGCTCTGGATGGTGAATATTTCAGACTTTGGTTTAAAGCTGCGGATGTACACAGTGGCATTTCTCAGATCTACTTCCGCATTATAAATAAATCCAACGGTTCCGTGGCAGAAAACGGCACTGTTAATGTCAACAGTTCAACAAAGGTAAATATCTCAATAATAGTAAGTATCTCAATAACTGAAAATATCTCAAGTAAGTATCTCATCAATAGTAATTATCTAAACAACTGTAAGATCTCAATAACTGTAAATATCTCAAGTAAGTATCTCAACAATAGTAATTATCAGAACAACTGTAAGATCTCAAGAACAGTATGTATCTCAATAACTGTAAGTATCTCAAGTAAGTATCTCAACAATATTAATTATCGCAACTGTAAGTATCTCAATAACTGTAAATATCTCAAGTAAGTATCTCAACAATAGTAATTATCAGAACAACTGTAAGATCTCAAAAACAGTACGTATCTCAATAACTGTAAGTATCTCAAGTAAGTATCTCAACAATATTAATTATCTAGGCAACTGTACGTATCTCAATAACTGTAAATATCTCAAGTAAGTATCTCAACAATAGTAATTATCAGAACAACTGTAAGATCTCAAAAACAGTACGTATCTCAATAAATGTAAATATCTCAAGTAAGTATCTCAACAATAGTAATTATCAGAACAAATGTAAGATCTCAAGAACAGGAAGTATCTCAAGTAAGTATCTCAACTACAGTAATTATCTGAACAACTGTAAATACCTCAAGAAGAGTAAGTATCTCAATAACTGTAAATATCTCAAGTAAGTATCTCAGCTATAGTAATTAAATAACTGTAAGATCTCAAGAACAGTATGTATCTCAATAACTGAAAATATCTCAAGTACGTATCTAAACAATAGTAATTATCAGAACAACTGTAAGTATCTCAAGAACAGGAAGTTTCTCAATGATGGTAAATATCTCAACTTCAGCAGTATACGTATTATCTCAACTACTGTAAATATCTATACAATTTTCTTTGCAGTATGCTTTTGTAATTTATTTTGCTGTTCGAGTCCATGTTTAAATTATTAGTTTGTGTCTTTAAACATAGACATGAACAATGCCACCGTAACACAGAAGTACGAAATAATAAAAATATCGTTTTTTATTCTTAGGTAAGAGGTAAACCAGATGAATCGTATAAGGTTCGTGATTTATTCTACTTTTACCAACAAGAGCTGGAAATAAACAATTGTTGGTTTCGAGTTCCAAAGGAAAGACAGGCCTCTGATCGGTTTGCTGTAGAAGTCACCGCTTATAATGGCGCCATGCTGCAAAATCAAACCACAGTTGATGTTAACTTAGAAGAATTTAATGGAATCGGGCAATGTAGGCCACCAAAGTTCCGGTCTCTTTATTTCGTAACAAAAAAAAAAATAATAATAATAAATAAAAAAAAGTAGAAATAAAAGAAAAAAAGTATTATCTTTATTTCTATTAGGAATTCAAAACACATCTACATTTGGTTGGAAATAATAGACTGTTTCAAGGTAATTGAAGTACGTGGTGGTGGTGATGTCCTGCTCTTTTGCAAGGCAAATTGATTTAGTTTTGTGCAATACGGTGTAAATCAACGTCATTTAATTATCATCCAACTAAAATTTTGCCTCATTATATTAACTTGCCCTGCAAAAGAGCAGAGCTAATCGTAAAAAGGTTTATTAAATATTTTTTATTGACATTGTAAAGATGTAGAGTAAAATCGAACATGTACATTGCAAATTTATGCACATACAACGAACTGATATGTTTTGATTTCCAATAATAGACAATATAATGCATAATTTTTTCATGTATCAAGAATCGCAGACATAGCTAACCAGTATCAGGTGTCTCTTGTAATTCTATTTTTTACTCTTTGTAATCATTTTTTAGAACTTGTTTTTCTTAATCTTTCTTTGAGACATTTCAAGTTAATTAAGGAATGAATTTAATAGCGGTATAAAGTGGGTTGGGGCAGTTTACGCTTTATAAACCACGAAGGCAACCCAATTTATACAATATAAAGTAGTTTTTTTATCCAATCAAATACCGCGTTATAATCAGAATTAAATTATATGAGATTAAACAAAGATTGCATTTTTTTCATTAACAGATCAGACCGTGAAATCAGTAATACTACTAGACAACACCGGAAGTGGTGTTCGATTTGGTTGGAATCTGACAGAGACGTGTTACAGACGCCAAAACATCATTTTAAAATACAATGATGGGGAAAAACACAGGAAACTGGTGAATGCTAGGGTCAATCGATTCGATCTCCGGGGCTTAAAGCCACTTACCCGGTACAACGTCAGCTTCACCATAGAATATGACGAGGGTGATATAAGCGACCCCGTGTATTTCGACTTCAGGACGGCATGTAAGTGTAATGCAGTTTTTAGGTCACCTGAGTTACTCAGGTGACCTATTGCTATCTCTTTTCGTCCGTCGACGTGCGTCATTCGTCGGTCGTAAACTTTTGAACATTTTCAGCTTCTTCTCTGGAACCAGTGAACCAATTTCAACTATTTTTGGCATATAGCATCTATGGGTGAAGGGGAACCAAAATTCTGAAATTTATGGCCCCTGCCCCCCTGGGACCTGAGGGGTGGGGCCAAAACCATCAAAATTAATGCAATCTTTAAAAATCTTCTTCTTTACTACTGGACATCAAGCAGTCAAACTGTTGGCATGATTGTAATAAGCATTGAGCCCTCTACCAAAATTGTGGAATTCATGACCCCAGGGTCAGAGGTTCTGGTGCTAAGGTGGGGCTATATAGATCATATAGTGAAAGTGCATTATTTCTTTGAAAATCTTCTTCTCCACTCCTGGGAATTATTGAAACAAATTAAATACATAGTTATGATAAGCAAGGATGCCTCTTCCAAAATTGTGAAATTCATTGCCCCTGGATCAGGGGTTCTGGGGTAAGGACGGGGCTCTATTGATTATAAAGTGAAAATATTTTAATTCTTTAAAAATCTTCTTCTCTGGACCTGGGTATTATTAAACAAAGTAAGTACATTGTTATGATAAGCAAGGATGCCTCTTCCAAAATTGTGAAATTCATGGCACCGGGGACATTGGTTCTGGTGCCAGGGCGGGGCTATATAGATCCTATAGTGAAGGTGAATTCTTTCTTTGAAAATCTTCTTCCCTGCCCCTGTGTATTATATAAACAAACTAAGAACATAGTTATGGTAAGCAAGGATGCCTCTTCCAAAATTGTGAATTTCATGACCCCAGGTTCAAGGGTTCTGGTGAAGGGGGGGGGGGGGTTCTATTGATTATAAAGTGCAAAAGCAAAATTTCTTTGAAAATATTCTTTTCTGCTTCTGGTTAAAAAGCAAAGAAGCTAAGTGTATAGTTATGATGAACAAGAGTGCTTCTTCCAGAGTAGTAAATTTCATGACCCCTGGGTCAGATGTGCTGGTGTAAGGGTGGGGCTCTTGGTAATATAGCGAAAATGCATTGATTCTATTAAATAATCCTGTTTGCTCCTAAGTGTTAAGCAGATAAACAAAGTGATAAGTTATGATGAGCAAACATGGTCCCAGGGTCAGAGGCTCTGGTGTTTCTCGTGGGGGGGGGGGGGGGGGGCTCTATTGATAATATTATAGTGAATCCTTAGTAAAAATGCATTATTTCTTTAAAAATCTTCTCTGCATCTGGGGATATCTGAGGCAAACAGAGTAAAAGTTATTATAAGGAAGGGTATCTTTACCAGATTTTTGAACATCTGGACCATTTAGTCAAGTGTTCTGGTCCTGGACAGGGCTCTATTAATTTGTATTCTACTGAGAGGAGTTATTTCCCTTTGCCATTTACTTTTGATAATTAATCACTGTAAATAATGTACTTGAGAGGTAAATAGAATAAGAGAATTATGCAAGAATTTTTATTTTATAATACAAAAAGTACTTTCATAGTTTTAATGATCAGAGTAGACTTGTAAATGGGAGGTAAATGAGAATGAGACAAAAATAACTTGTCTTCTTATATATTCATCAAAGACCAAGAAAGGCCAATGTAAGAAATTTCAACAAGAGATTAAAATAGTACAGAAGCATTGATAATTTGTTTATATACTGTATAGTGATAGTGATAAATGGGGAATAGGTTAGAATCTAATTTATGAACTGTTAATGAATATTAAGATTAATTATTTTGTTGATCCTGATTACCCTATTTTTCTTGCTTTTGGGCAATAAAGCTTCACCTTCCAGTTCATTTTATACTTTTTGTATCCTTTAAATTGTTGTATTATACTCAGGTGACCGTTAAGGCCCTTGGGACTCTTGTTATAAATAAAGGATTCAAGGATTCAATAAATGGCATCATTATTCGACAAAGATAAAGTAATAATAAAGTTTTGCAAGAATGGAGAACGGAAAATAGAAAGCTATCTAGAAAAAAGTTTGCCAGATGATAATTAACATAAACCAAGCCTGATAAATTGGTTTCTTAGAGCCTTCTCTGATCTTTTTGTTTACAGCTGTACCTGTTGCGCAAAGCGGACTAACACCTGGAGGAATATCTGGAATTGTTGTTGGTAAAATATTATTTTTTGGGGGAGGGGGTGGTCTTAAAATTAATGCCCTTCGACACACACAAAAATGTCAAACTTGACCCTTGATGAGAAAGATCTGGGAAGTAAGTAACAGGCTCCACAAGTTATGGAACTATTTTTTTTCTTCTTTTTTTTCATACCTAAACTATATTCTCCTTTTCTCATTTAATCTTGAGTTTTACTTTCTGCAGCCATTTGTCTTCTGTTGTTATTTGTGATTTTCGTGCTGGTGTTGTATAAAACTGGTCGTCTGCGCAAAGCGGAAGTCATCATTGCCCCGATTAGAAACACAATCAGGCGGCACAGAGATGGCGCCGGAGCCATCGGTTACCAGCAGTATAATGTAAGTTTACATTAATTTGTATATTTTCCACGAAGCAAATACTTAATTATATTTCTTTTAACTACATTGCTAATTTTATTAGGCATTTTAGTGTACAATAAAAAAGCAGTAGGGATGGGTATCGCCAAAAATTTCGTATCGCAATATAACACGCCCTCCCCCCCCCCCCCCCAAAAAAAAAAAAAATTATATCCTTATGTTTTTTAACGAAATTTTACTACAATTTTACATATATGCCCAAAATGTTGCGCACTGAAATGCAGTTAAAACATAACTTCATTTCTTTTCATTTTTATTTATATAAATAATATAAAGCATGTTTTTATCTGTATAAAATAAAGCATGTTTTTGGATGCTAGAATGCTGTACTGTTTTCAACATTTTTTAAATAAAACGCTAAATAAAAAATAAAAAAAATACCAGTATACCCATAAAATTGCGCATCCCTAAAAAGCACTAACGTAATATGTATACAACAACATGACAACATCAATTAAATGAAGGTATTAATAACAAGAGAACATTAAATACATGATTGCATAATTATTTAGACTGGAGGATACAACGTACGATCAGAAGTCGTGTTTTAATTACATAAATTACTTTAATTACATGATAAGATTTATCTAAGATAATATATTAGATAATAATATGATAAGATAAATTAAATGATTAGATTAATTACATGATAACAATAATTGCATAATTACATTAATAATAACATAAACATTAATTACATGATATCATAAATTATAGGATTACATTAATTTCATGAATGCATTACCTACATGATTACATTAATTAATTACATGATTACATTAATTACTTGTTTACATTAATTACATGGTAACGTTTATTGCATGATTACATTAATAACTCGATTACATTAATTACACGATTATATTAATAACCTGATGATTATTCCATGATTACATAAATAACATGATTACATAATTTACAGGATTATATTAATTGCATGAATACATTTTGAAATCATTACATCAATTACATGATTTACATTTTTACATAAATCACAAGATAACTTTCATTGCATGATTATATTTATTACATGATAACGTTTATTTCATGATTACATTAATTACATGATTACATTAATTAGACTGGAGGATATGAAGAGGAGGACATTTACTTATATGGGGGACTCACGTTTGAGAAGGAACCAGATTGGCATTACAGGATGGAGGACGTATCTCTGGATGTCCTCCTAAAGACCGGGAGGTTCGCCATGATTTATAAAGCCACAGTCTATAAAAAAGGAAATCCAAAGGAATGTGTAGCAAAGACTCTAAAAGGTTATATTTTGTTAAAAATTTCTGTTTATTTTCCAACTGTATTGTGAATTGAAGAATCGAATTACTTCAGGTGGTGTAAAAAATTAATGGACCCTAAACTCCAAAATCATTACTATACATGTTATATATATGGAAAAATATTTAAAAGATGTTCTTTTATTGAATGTTTACATTTCTTATGTAAAATACCATTTACTTCAAAGTCATTCATCATGTGGCAAAAAAGAAGGCAATTTCTTCAAATGTGTACGTTTTTCATAAGGAATTCCATTAAGAGATATAATTTTAAATTAGCTAAAGTTTTTCACTTCATGATATTTCAATAATGTTTTTTAACAGATGGATACACTGACGAGGATAAGGTTCTGATGATGGCGAAGATTAATTTTTTCGGAACAAAGGTTGGGGAACATCCATGTATCCTGGGGTTTATTGGAGCAGTAACATCTGAACAGTCTAGTAAGTAAAATCTGAACTGTCTAGTAAATAATATCCAAACTGTCTAGTAAGTAACATCTGAACTGTCAAGTAAGTAATATCTGAACTGTCTAGTAAGTAACATCTGAACAGTCTAGTAATAAGTTACAACTGAACTGTCAAGTAAGTAACATCTGAACTGAACTGTCTAGTAAGTAACATTCAAACTGTCAAGTAAGTAATATCTGAACTGTCTAGTAAGTAACATCTGAACTGTCAAGTAAGTAACATCTGAACTGTCTAGTAGGTAACATCTGAACAGTCTAGTAAGTAACATCTGAACTGTCTGGTAAGTAAGTTCCAATCTGTCTAGTAAATAACATCCGAAATGTCTAGTAAGTAATATCTGAACTGTCTAGTAAGTAACATCTGAACTGTCAAGTAAGTAATATCTGAACTGTCTAGTAAGTAATATCTGAACAGTCTAGTAATAAGTTACAACTGAACTGTCAAGTTAGTAACATCTGAACTGAACTGTCTAGTAAGTAACATTCAAACTGTCTAGTAAGTAACATCCGAACTGTCTAGTAAGTAATATCCAAACCGTCTAGTAAGTAACATCCGAACTGTCTAGTAAGTTACATCCGAACTGTCTATTAAGTAACTTCCGAACTGTCTAGTAAATAACATTCTAACTGTCTAGTAAGTAATATCTGAACTGTCTAGTAAGATTATACTTATTTTGAGAAGCCTAATATTATCTTTTATCCTAATAAAGTGGTTTTATAAGTTTTATGCTAATCAGAAGAATCTTTGAAATATGTGTTTTTGAGGACAAAACGATGATTAAGCCACCCGAGGAGTACAATACTTACCGAGCCCGAAGGACTTCAAAGGTTGCTAAATCATCTTATTGACTTAAAACCCCCCAGTAATAATTGTTTTATCATATGATTCATAATTAAATGATACGAACTCATTAAGTAGTTCATGCCATGTTTACATTTGCTGAAGCCCTAGCTAAATGGAATGAGAGAAGCGGGGTCAAATAAACAATACCAGTCATGTTAATTTAGAATTTTTAAAATCTACTTTAGTTGCTATGAAAAAAGAAATAATGGCAGGCTTTTTTGTAGAACAGATTTTAAAAGTGGGCATTATCAGGGAAAAAAAAAAAAAAAAAATCTTTGATTAGCCTCCACAAAACGAGAATCCTTTTTACCTCATTTTTGTTTTATGGGCTGGGGTAGGGTAAGGGTTGGGGGATTAAGGTAATCTACATTGAAAAATAACGGCTCTTGCAATACAATGTTATAAAAAAAAAAACAACAAATATCATGAATTAAAGAAAAATGTAATCATGATATAATTTATGCTGTGTATGCATATGCGTTCACACTTTTCGGCGGAAATTTGTCACAGCGTTCTTAAAGTATATTTATGGTATAAAATAAAACCCCTAGAAATCCGTGTATTAACCCACGGATTAAACCGCAATTGTGAATCAGAGGAATTATGTCGCCGCGGAAAAAAGTACTTTGACAGTAATTCATTAAGACCAGGTTGTTGTCTAATATTGCCAAAAAAATTAATAAATAAATAAATAAATAAATAAATAAATAAATAAATAAATAAATAAATAAATAAATAAATAAATAAAATAAATTTAAAAAAATAATGCAAGAACATTTTGTAAGCTTTCTTTTTATTATAATATAAAAAAAAATGTTTCAGTTGGCCCAATCATGCTACTGGAATATTGTGAAAATGGAACACTTAAGGACTGGTTGGTAGATCGACAGAGTTCCGTCACTGATGACGTCATTGAGAGTCTCTTCCGGTTTTCCTACGACATTTCCAGAGGAATGATGTACTTAACGAGTAGAGAAGTAATACATGGAAGAGAGAAGTTCTTTTTCTTTTCTCATTAAAAATAATTTTCTCTCGCTTGACATATTGAAGGATTAAAGTATTTATGTGCTTTAACTGAATAGTCCTACAAATTACATTCCCTATACTTGAATAATATTTTACCCTTTAAATCGTAGAACTATATATTAAAACAGAAATAGACTTATTTTTCATGTTCATCAACGACAATGCCAAGTAAATTGAAGAAAGGATAGGACACACCTGAACTGTCGCTCCTTTTTTACTTTATAGCATCTTCGTTAGCTACATGTAGGTCACCGATCCACTCTTAAAGAGGAGAAAAATTAATGGGAAACTTACCTAGAGAAAATGCTTACAAAGATAATTTAGATATTTTTAGATATTATTAAGATAATCCAGATTTTACTGAGATAATCTAGATAATTATCTAGAGAATGTAGATATCACTAAGATAATTCAGATATGAAAAAGAAAATCCAGAAATAACTGAGATAATCCAAATGTTACTAAATAATCCAGACATAGCTAAATAATCCAAATATCACTAATAAATTCAGATATTACTTGAATAATCCAAATGTTATTAAATAAACCAGATATTTCTATGTAAGTCAGATATTACTTAAATACTCCAAATATTATTAAATAATTCAGATATCATTAAATACGTTAGATACTACTTAAATAATAAAAAAAGATCACTAAAATAATCCAGATATTATTTATATAATCCAGAATTTATTTAGGTAGTCAAGATACTACTAAAAAAATCCAGATATTACTTAGAAAATCAAGATACTTTTGAAATGATCCAGATATTGCCTAGAAAAGTTTTATATTACTCAGATTATTCCGCATGATACTTTGATACGTACTGATTGGATATAATCAATATAATTTTAAGATCAGAAAATGTACACTGTAGTTAGATCATCCAGAAGTTACATCACCCACACGAAACGATTACATTGTTCATCTATAGATCATCCACACTTACCGATTACATTGTTCATCTATAGATCATCCACACGAAACGATTACATTGTTCATCTATAGATCATCCACACTTACCGATTTCATTGTTTATCTATAGATTATCCACACTTACCGATTACATTGTTCATCTATAGATCATCCACACTTAACGATTTCATTGTTCATCTATAGATCATCCATATGAGACTGGCAGCAAGGAATGTGTTTCTAAGTAAGAACCTGAGTGCTAAGGTAGCAGGGTTTGGACCACGGCAGGGGGATGAAGACGACGAGTCATCTAGAAAGGTCAGTATGAATATGTAAACACTCTTGACCTCTGCGACCTTCCATTATAATCACTCCTAACCTCACCCTTAACCTCTGCGACCTTCAGTTGTCATCAACTCTGTGATGTACCGTTTACTCAAAGTACTTTTTTCTGTTTCCGTACCGATTCATGATTACGTTTGCAACAAGTTAAACTCTATATAATATAATATATATATTAATACCTTTTTACGCCGTCCAAATTTCAAAGTCATGAATTGTCTCATAACAATCATACAATCTTTACATTTGTAACTTCGGCTTAGTAAATTGTGTGGAATTATATGTTTTTTGATCAGATATATTCTGGTGATGTGATAGGCTGTGCTTGTGACTTCGTCGTGAAATACATATGACTCAAAATAAATTTGTTATGTGTTTTCCTTATTTTTAAAAGATATTTATTTGCATATATTTTGTATATGTGCACATGTGCAAGATTTTCATTCATTTTGCATATCACAAAATATCCATGTTGCCTCATTCTCTAATTTAGACAAGTTAATAATTCGTGTATTTGACATTTTTGCCCTGGTCTATACTTCGCAAGTTGAACAAATCTCAATAATTCTTGTCATGGTTTCTCCTATGTATCTGCAGGAGCCATAATATCAAAAATAAATATACAACGAAGCACGCTTATAGCCAACACGTTTATAATGAATCGACGCTTACAGCGAAGTGATTTTCATTTTTAAAGTATACTGTATACTGAAGGGATATAACAAGTTACGCTTATAAGGAAGTAAAACTGTCTGTCTTCGTTGTAAGCGTGTTTGACTGTAATGCTTTTATCTCTATAATAGGAAAGAATACCAGTGAAATGGATGGCTCCCGAGTGTCTGAATAAGTCTGGAGCTGCATCCGAGAAAAGTGACGTCTGGTCTTACGGTGTTACTGTGTGGGAGGTCTTTACGATGGGTAGATATATTTATTAAGCTGCTCTTTGAGATGTACACAAAGTTATATTACCTTGACATGTTGAAATCATAATTCACTTCTCTTTTCTACTAAGGTGGTACCCCGTACGACAATGTACGTAGCAGAGATCTTCCAAAATGGCTGAAACAAGGGAATCGATTGAGTAAACCCGAATATTCGGATGATTTGTACGTGATATTGTCATCTATTTAGATTTAATTTTCCTCTGATAAGAGAGATAACTTTTATTTGGATATAAATGTTTGTTTTTTCCCAATAAAGTTGTCAAATTAAAAGACCGTTCTGTCCAATGTTATTCCTCGTACTGTATGCAGGAAATTGTAAAGATCTTATATAAATGGATTACTTTTGAAAAATCATTTTTTTGTTAATGAGTAGATACCTTGATCCCTAAAGCTTTTTCCAATGCCCTTCCATTACTTTAGCAATGCATATTTCTTAAAATCAATCTATAATTGAATAAGTGATAAACAAAACCTGAATGGGCATCTTTTTTTAATATTCTCAAGGAAATAAATCAGTTTGCATTCCAATTTTACTTCAAGTTTTGCTGTTCGCACTATATTTTTTACACCATAGATATCTGGGTATCTTTTTTATGTGATAAGTCGGTGAATTTTTTCGTGTAGACATTCAAAATCTTCCAGGAGATAATTGTATTAATAATTATATTTTTAATCATTCAGGCATTATGAGATCATGAAGAAATGTTGGGCTATGGAACCATCTGCTCGGCCATCTTTTGGAGAAATCAACAAACAGATTGAATCTCTGTTTCGTCAGTCATCCGGGGATTTGTACTACTATGATGCACAGAAATGACCGAAAGTGAGAAAACCCCGGATGTTAAACGAACTGCATGAATAAGAAGCATCATTGCAAATTTCAAAAGTCAAGAAATCAAAATATTTGTTTGCGAAATATTGTTTATGTACTGAAAAAAATAATATATACTTAACTCATATTTTAGCCAGAGTGTATTTTTGCCTCTCCTTAGAAACAGTTTAAGGTGTTAAATCTTTAACCGGTTATTCTGAAAGACTAATCCAGTATTTATTGCAGATAGAAACTTTCATAAAGTAATTACCTTCTTTCATCGTCTTTAGATTGTTCAGTGTTTTGTAAAGTTCTAGAGAAGAGTCCAAATAAATCATAGGATTAAAAAATAACATTCCTATTTTTATTAATGATAAAGTGAATAGTTCTATAAATACTGTCCTGCAGTACACCAGAATCAAGCTGAAAATTTGACAAAAACTTCAAAACTAAACTGTTTCTTTAAACAACAAAAAGTCTAATGGAGATAAGCATTTATGGATTGTTTTCTTATTATATGTGTTGCTTTGAACTTGATTTTGCTGAAAATATGTAAATAATGTGCAACCTTTTTTGGAATGAAAAATATACCATATCATATGCAATGAAAACATTTCGTTATTGGATTTCCAATAATTTATTATCATTTTTTTTTGTTCTTTTCTTGAGATGCATTTGAATGATATTAATTTTGTCTTTTATGTTTTTGTATGTCTTCTTATATTTAAACATTTTGTCACCTGTTTTTCATTCCTTTGATCTCTAAATTATTTTGTATTAAAACCATGACAATAGTTTTTTTTTTTTAGTTTTTTGTGTTCCTCAGGTTCTTTCGTTTGCATTAAGATATAGAATTAGTACTTTGGTGTAAAGATGTATATCTAAAACCTTCATTTTTCTACAAGTCGACAAATTGAAAGTTGTCTTTAATGTACATGTATAAACTGTCAACAGTATACAGTAAAAGTATATAATTGAGAGAGTCAGCAAGATTCCAGTTCCCCAAAAGCAGGTCTGTTTCCCGAGGCGCAGCCGAGGGGAACTTGAATCTTGCTGACTCCCTAAAATTATATACTTTAACTGTTTTATTATAACGATACCAAATTTAAACTTTTTTCAAAACCCATGACTGCAATTCTATTTTATACGCAGTGCAATTATATGATGCGCAATGGAAATATTGATTACTCAGAATGTAGAAAAACGATAAATAAATAAAGTCTTTGCATTTGAATCAATTGTTTATAAGATACAATAATGAATAATCTATGAAATACATGTATCAGAATCTGCTAGCAACTTTATTTTATGTAAATAATTTACACTGTGACAAAGTTACATGATCCGTCTAGATCTCAATACACATTAGTTTACGATGTTGACATAACAATAACACGATACTCTTTCCCGTATAAATTGGGCCCCGCCTCCTTATAAATAACTTTAACTGAGCTGCATTATGAATGTTCATGATTATATTTGGAACGTATCGGTACTTTTCAAACGATTAAAAGAAATTGCTAGGTGTTCCGAATAGGTGTGTATCAGTTCATAAAACTGACGCACCTTTTTGCAGGGAACCAGTCCATTTACGGTGATTTTCAGGGAATCAGCAAAATATATCGATTTACTCTTATATAGTGAAAAATCAGTAGAGGTAAAAAAAATGTCAAATATATCACACTTGTAGTGCCATAATCCACTGAGAACTCGAAGTATATTTTTGAAAAGAAACACCCTAAAGCAGATATATTATACCTCTAATGATGCTAAATAAGAGTAAATCGATATGTTTTGCTGATTTCCTGAAAATTGCCGTAAAAAGACTGATTTCCTGGAAAAAAGTGCGTCAGTTCGATGAACTGATACAGATCTATTCGGAACATCTCTCAATTTCTTTTAATTATATGAAAAGTCTTTATATGTTCCAAATAAAAGCATGAATATTCATACCGTTACACAGTTACAGTTACATATAAGGAGGCGTTGTTTAATAAACAGAATATTGCATGCAGATTCATGTAATTAAGAAACCATTAATTCAAAAGCAATGCCTTTCTATAGAATTTATCTACATTCTTGGTACATGTAACTGATCTTCCCATTGCGCAACTTATAATAGCACTGCGTATAAAAAAGAATTGCAAAGCTTTAGGAGATAACTTGTCTAAGTTTTGTATCGGTATAATAAAACAAAGTATAACATTGAAGGAGTCAGCAAGATTCCAGTTCCCCTAGAGCAAGCCTCCTCGCCTCGGGAAATAGGCTTGCTCTTGGGGAACTGGAATCTTGCTGACTCCCTACAATGATATACTTTAATTGTATAATAATATCATGCTACGCTCGTCTACAATACATGTGCACTATTATATTACAAAGCTGATAAAATTTAAGATTAAGTGTTATTTTCAGAAAGTGCAAATTTAAGTTTATTCAAATTATTGTTCCAGGCGTATAATACTGGATATTTTTTTCTATTGGAGTATATAGATAATTAATTTAAAAAAAATATCTTTTGCAGCGTAACAGGGCCAGAGATAACGTATTAAGAAAGTTATAGGAAGCAAAACATCAAAGAAAGTGTTATAATAAAGTAAATAAGCGAAGTAAAGTATTCAATATAATAAATCAAAGTATCAAACAAAAGGGTATAGCAGTAAACCAAAATGTCAAATTGAAGTTTAAAAAATATAGCAAAATATCACAGTATCTGTAAACATTAGAACACAGTGAATTGTCACAGCGAGGCATGAAAGTATCTGTAAACATTAGAACACAGTGAATTGTCACAGCGAGGCATCACAGTATCTGTAAATATTAGAACACAGTGAATTGTCACAGCGAGGCATCAAAGTATCTGTAAACATTAGAACACAGTGAATTGTCACAGCGAGGCATCAAAGTATCTGTAAACATTAGAACACAGTGAATTGTCACAGCGAGGCATCAAAGTATCTGTAAACATTAGAACACAGTGAATTGTCACAGCGAGGCATCACAGTATCTGTAAACATTAGAACACAGTGAATTGTCACAGCGAGGCATCACAGTATCTGTAAACATTAGAACACAGTGAATTGTCACAGCGAGGCATGAAAGTATCTATAAACATTAGAACACAGTGAATTGTCACAGCGAGGCATCAAAGTACCTGTAAACATTAGAACACAGTGAATTGTCGCAGCGAGGCATCAAAGTATCTGTAAACATTAGAACACAGTGAATTGTCGCAGCGAGGCATGAAAGTATCTGTAAACATTAGAACACAGTGAATTGTCGCAGTGAGGCATCAAAGTATCTGTAAACATTAGAACACAGTGAATTGTCGCAGCGAGGCATCAAAGTATCTGTAAACATTAGAACACAGTGAATTGTCGCAGCGAGGCATCAAAGTATCTGTAAACATTAGAACACAGTGAATTGTCGCAGCGAGGCATGAAAGTATCTGTAAACATTAGAACACAGTGAATTGTCACAGCGAGGCATCAAAGTATCTGTAAACATTAGAACACAGTGAATTGTCACAGCGAGGCATGAAAGTATCTGTAAACATTAGAACACAGTGAATTGTCACAGCGAGGCATGAAAGTATCTGTAAACATTAGAACACAGTGAATTGTCACAGCGAGGCATGAAAGTATCTGTGAACATTAGAACACAGTGAATTGTCACAGCGAGGCATGAAAGTATCTGTGAACATTAGAACACAGTGAATTGTCACAGCGAGGCATCAAAGTATCTGTAAACATTAGAACACAGTGAATTGTCACAGCGAGGTGTCAAAGTATCGCAGTAAAGGAAATTAATGTACGTGTTTCATAGTGAATGAAAATGAAGTTAAATAGTAAAACAACTTATCAAAATAGTATCACAGAGAAGAAGAGTATAAACAAAAGAACAGAACAGTTAACTAAAGAATAACAATAATGGTTGATTGTGTACCAAAATATCAAAGAAAAGTATTAAATAAACTGAAGTACAAATCATCATGTTTTTTTTTTTTTTGTATGTTGTTTAACGTCCCTCTCGAGGATTTTTCACTCATATGGAGACGCCACCACTTGCCGGTGGAGAGCTGCAAATTTTGTCCTATACTCGGCACTCAAGGCCATTGAGCAGTGAGGGATCTTTTTCATGCCAGCACCTACTGCGACACGGGACCTCGGTTTATACGGTCTCATCCGAAGGACCGGTCTCCACGTCTCGCAGTGGGATTTGAACCCACGACGTAAGGATCAACTCCTTCGCATGTGAGTTAAGGCTAGGTATAGGCGTTTCTATGCAAATGAGCTAATAAAAACGCATAAGAGGTATATTTATTATTCAGAGAAAGTTTTGATTTATTTTCTTATGCATACTTAGTACCCACGATATGTTATAGCCAGTAAACATTATGACGTCATATTATGACGTCACTGATCTTATCCACTGGAGGTAATAGGGTCTGTAAGTCTCGTCAGCTGACCGACGAGATTTGACGAGATTAATAACTTCCGGGTACCTCAAGCGAAATGGCCTTGTCCATATTGTATTGGGCAAACTATGTTGAAGGTTTAACAAAGATTAAAAGGAAAAGTGAAGCTGCAGTGGAGTCTCAGAGGGTTCTCCGATTCACGTTTGACGAGTTGCGTGTGATAACTGCGAATGTTCAAGCATCAATGAGGGACACATCGTACAAAGTGCAGGTTGGTTGTAGATTTATAAACTAGCATACATAATACTGTTAACTCTTTCGATAAAACAATTTTTCATTTAATTTATGAATGATTGCTCTTTGAATGAATATAAACATACTTGAAAACGAAGCAAAACATTTGCCTAACGTTATTTATCGATGATCGTACAATCATACGTAACCTATGCTATGTAATTGTAAACAAATCTGTAAGCCTATGTATTATAGCATATGATTAGATTGTGTGTGTGAAGTTGTATAAATTTTATATATGTTAAGAATGACAAGTGTATAGATACATATAAGTTATCCTTTTTAATTTAATGTTATAATGCGCAATAGATATTCCTTGAATCTGAAGATAATGGTGTTATGGAGTCATCCTCATGTGAGTGTCCTATGG